TGCGACTAAACAGTATGAGTTGTCAAAATTTTGGAAAACAGAATTTATTTTAAAAAGTTCTAGCTGCCACCAGAAAATTGTGCATACACAAAAAAATATGAACTTTTTTTTAACTGGGGTTTGCAGATTGAGTCATTTGTGCAAGTCGGTAATTAACATTAATTGCATCAGGAAAAGCCATTTACCAATATATTTTTATATACCAAATTTATTTTTAATCGTTCAACCCTTTTCCGTTTTATAACTGAGTAGGTATTGACATTTTTTCAAAAACTTTGGCTCCACCTAGCGCTCTTACGGTGCATTTTTGCATATAAATTCTAGGGTGGCTCGCTGGTACACGCGTGTCAGGGACACCCTGTATTTAAGTGCGTATAAAACTCTTTTAAATAAAAAAAAAACTAGAAAGCAAATACTTTTCGAATTGAATTGAAGAGATTAATTTTCCTGAAAATATAAACACCAAATGAACAATTATTTGTAGATTCAGTGATTTTTGCCTTCACTGTAAAAAAAATATGGTCAAATTACTTGAATTTTCCATAGTAACCCATAGAAAGTTCAAGGAATTTTACCATACTTTTTATTACAGAGTTGCATAAATTAAATTTATGGGGTAGGTATATCATATATAATTTTAAAATTAAAAGATTCCTATTTTAATTACCTATCGTAAGGGCATTATGCCCTTGAAAATAATGAACTTCCTTCTGCTTTATTTTTTATATATTACGGTGTTTTAGTGGTGTTGAAGGTAGGAAGTAAATTTAGAAATCGAATCAATACTGAAAAAAGAAAGTCCGGTTATTTGTGGTTTGGATAAAAGTATTGTCCTAAAGGGCACCAAAGGGAGTAAACCTTTCTGAAATGAAACATTCTATTGTCCCTAAACATAATACTGTTGTACCGTTTGGTCTTACTTTCACCTAGAAGATACACCGGTAGCAAATAAAACAGTGAATAAAATCCAGATATAAAGGAATGCATTAGCGTATTAGAGTCTTAGAAAATGTATGAAAATAATAAAACAAGTTATGTGCATTGGACAACTATGAAGATAAGGCCTCCTGCTTAATTCTGAAAACTTCTTATCTTAATCATTATCTGCTTTTGCTCTAAGAGGTTCATTACTGCTAAATATTTATTTAATTAATACAAAACATTTAGTTGTCTGTAATTATGCAAGCACTCATACTTAGTGAATATTATAAAATTTGCCTGAGAGCGTAACACTAATTAGACCTAAACTAAGATAATGAGCAAATGCCGCGATAACATTTTTGAATAATGTCGTTTAACCATAAATTCTAAAAATTAAGTTATTTCGTAATTTTTCAGTGGTGTAGACCTTTAGATTAACTGTAATATATTTTAAAGAATAACTTCAGCACTAAACAACATTATCAAAATATAATTTAAACATTTTCTATTCTTTTCAAAATGGATGTTTTTCTATTTGAAAAAAATATGAATTATGCAAGATACTTACAGTAGTAGCAGTGATGCTTCGTGGTAGGTTTGTATGAAGGGGCTTAATGTATAGGTTGATGATTCCGATATTTCCCAATTAATAAATTATTATAACATAAGCGTACAGAATATTTGATCCCCAAAAAAATTAATTTTTATTAACATCATTTATTATTGTTTATCCACATTCAAATGATCAACGGCCATCCTGCATAGTTTAAGGAGAATCCGATACCTATCTACAGGGTGTTTAGAGTCTACAGGGTAGCTACAGAGCGCAGTGATCGATAATTTTTGTTATGAAATTGATATAAAAATCAATACTTAATAGAAATTATAAAAAAAATTAAAGAATTCCTTAAATTATAAGTAAGGGGATAGTTTCATCAGAGTGCGTATATCTACAGGCTGATACTGAAATAATTTAAAAAAGGTGCTTGAGACAAATAAGATATGGCCCTAATAAGGCTTGCATTTGGAAAATTCTGCTAACGGCCACAGATTACATTGCGAATATATATTTTGTATTCACGAATATAGTTCCGCACTGTAGTAAAAAGTACACTGTAATAAAAAGTATGGTAAAATTTCTTGAACTTTCCATGGTAACCTTTTGGAAGTAATATTCATGTAACATTTATGTAATATTAAATAAAACCTTTAAAGTATACTTATATTGATTATTAATGAATTTTACTTGAACACTGCATGGCAACAGGTTACCATGGAAAGTTCAAGGAATTTTACCATACTTTTTATTACAGTACAATGCGCAACAAAAATAAATGAACCTACTGAAATCTAGCGGTCTCATACCATAAACAACACACAAGAATTTTATTAAATAGCCACTGTAAAACACTAACTTTTTTTTTCAATTTTTGCATTTTTTTAAAATTTATTATGTACTTATTTTTTATATAATTTTGATTATGTATTTATAAATAAAATTTACCAGTATCCATCTTTCATTTCCTAGCACGGTACCATGAACTTTTTGTTGGACTTTAAAGTGCATGATGGTTTTGGTTGTCTTGAGGATTGTCTATAAATATTAAAATTAACAAATTTCAATGCCGAGTTGCTGCGTCAGCGACCGAACCTGGTACGTACTGCCAACCCCTTGGTTCTTCAATTGAGATCAGAAAGACTATAACAAATATGTATGTAGGTACCTATAGGATAAAATAGAGGTTTTTTCATGGCATATTTTGTTATTTAAAATATTTTGGTATTCGTATTTATAATTAAATTACTCATTTATTAATATTAAAGATTAGGTATTGTTTTATTTGGATTAAAAATAATGAATTAGTGAACATTTATTTAATTTATTTATGATTCCATTCCATTATTTAGTCCATGTAGGGAGCAATATATATAATAAAAACAATTAATATTAGTTTTACAACCAGCAATGAATATTTTTTCACGAAATTTCTTACAAATCCAACCGATGGGGTGCAGAGTCCAGTAGCGTACACATTTTGAATAAAGCATTTCTATAAGTAGGCTTCGATAACTAAAAATGAATTCAGATGTCATATGACAACATTTTACATTCTAATTTTGTGCCATTGTTATTGTCATTGTCATTGTTATTGTCATTATTATTATTTGGATGGTTTTTTGTTTCTGTATTTTTTAGACCAATTTTTGAAAAAAAATACTGTTTACATAATCGTTGACGTTTCTCAATTATTATTAGTATCTATCTACTCAGGTCGTAGGTATTTGTAACAGACTGAAGAAATGCTTATTCGGAAGGCTGAATATTTTTTGAAACGAATGAATTGTATAAGCATAATGTTGAAATTAAGTTTTTCTGGCTTATATTTTTTTATGGTGAACTTGTCCATACTTGTATGTATTGTTGCTAAATTGCCGATACTTATGTACCTATACGTTTTATTTTCAGCAAGTACATTTTACAACCTAAATTTCGTTAAAATTGATCTAGGGATTTCGAAGATTTTAGAAAAAGTGAATAACTTTTAACACCTTGAATCTAATACGGAAATATTGCTAGAACAGGCCTATATTACAATTTTTTATTTTATTTTTGAAGGCGAATCTCCCGGGAGACTAGTTTCCCCTAATTTCCCTAGTTTTTCTGCTGATTTGGGCATTTTGCCATCTGTGAAAAACTAAAAATTAATTATACAAATCCTTGTGCGGAAAATATGTCATTGTTCACTGATACTAAAAAAGCAAAGAAATAGAAAATAAAGATACATATGCACTCTATATTACATTTTCCAATTATTTTCATGAGTAGAAAGGTACTCGTAAAAGAAGAAACTACGCCCGCAAATACACAACTTCAGGCGATATAGAAAATAGCTGTTAATAAATTATAGGTAGGTGAGAGTAAATTGGAGTTATAAAAAAATTGTTATGAATGGTTAATAAACTCATAGCTTAGACAGTCATAACTAACCCATTGTTTCAAATTTAATAACCTTTTAGTATTAGTCAGTTTTTTAAAACTTATTGTTGCATTATCTTTCGCAATTTTTTAGCCTTAATTTATGGCATATATTTTAGTAAAACATAAATATTTCAAAAAGAGTAAACGCGCGTTCAATCAGCAAATGTATCTTAACACTTTTACTTTATTAGAAAACTACCTATATAAAATAATATGTGCGCACGCGTAGTTAAAAATTGTTTAGGGACTTTGGGCATAATATAAAGATACACGATCCAAATGACCAAATGCTAATACTACATAGTAATTTCTTATCTGTTATTATGGCAATATGATAATCAGGCACATGCACATTTCCAGTTATTTAAGGAGATAAAAAATATATTAAATAAATAAATGTAAAAAACAGCAACCGATCGGTTCCATTACTTTAACTTTTTAAAGATAAAGCAAATGCTTAAAGATAAAGATATATTTGCTGACTGAACCCATTTTAAAAACAATTTCTTGTGTTTTTTACTACTAATAAAAATATGAAAATACTGGTGTTATTGTACGTACAAATGAAACAGCCACTGTAATATTATACTTTTCTCGATTCCTGCCTCTCAACTTATTATCAATAAACCCCTTTAAATGGTTTGTCGTCTACGTCACTGATCCCATCTTCATTTCAGTGACTTTGCTAACAAAATTGTAATTTATATTTCAGTACGATAAATGTCAAAATATCACTATATTTGTCAACATATCAAGTGAAGAGTACTTTTAGATAAATTAATTGGGCACCCAATTGAGGAGGACGATTTTGTGCATAACCTCTTTAGTATTCCGTGCTATCTCAAACACCGCGTTCATGCTTCTCTTCTTTGTGAATACACAGTGATATTTAATTAAGTGTACATACCACATTCCAACTAAAAACACATATACACATTAACGTGAGTATTATTATTAGGTATAGAAAACCTAAAAGGAATTTTATTACTCGCATGCATTTGGTTAGAAAATTCATAACTGAGATATCGGGACATGCTTTCAAAAAGATATACCTACTTATTACTTTGATTAAGTAAATAGTTTATAAAAGTTGCGTTACCTTGGCCCGTTAAATAGACAACAATTAACAAAACGACAGACCAAAATGGCCGCAGCTGTAAACAGTTATTTGTATAGATCGGCTTCATTCTCTGTCGAGCGAATGAGCGCATGTCGCGTCGCCTTGGTGCGCCTGGAAAGTTTGTTGCAGTTACAGTGTCGCAGTCATTACTTTGAACCGCCCCATTGCTTCTGTAACGGACGACGAACAAGTCTCCAAATTCCACTAAATAAATTAGTATTTAAAAAAGTACTTAATGCATATAATTCTAGTGGATTATTGAGATTAGTATCTTATTTATAATATAGTTCTTATGAGAAGTAAAATTCCTGCTGGTATTATATTTTACAGTAGTCAGTTGCTATAATTCGATCATTAACGTGCAATCCCTCACTGTGTATTAATTATAAAAATAGATTAGTTCTAAACAGGTTTACTAAACAATTATGTAAAGAAAGTGAGTACTTACATAAGTAATAGATAGATATTTATAAATCAAACTACTTAATTTAAACAATGAAAAACTAGATAATACACATATTTTACGACGTTATGAGCAAATTGTAATCTGTAATCTGTAATCTTATTCATTATTTATACACTTGCACATAGATTATTTTTTCCATTTATAAGGTAGGTAAGTATAGGTATGCTATAAGGTGTACGTACATATGCATAATATGTTTTATAGTAAGAAAAAATATTCAGATTAATATATTTTTTTCTAAACTTTTACTGTTAAACTTATCTACATATGTTTAGCAAAATTGGTACATCCTTTATTTTTGAATAGGGAATCTGTTTATAGAAATTTTCTACCACTCACAAATACATTTATTTTAATAAAATATCAATATGCATGAAGTTACTAGAACTTTGTTACTATTTTTTCACCTATAAAGTAACAGTAACAGTACTTTCTAACATGATGGGTATAATCACAAAACCTGAAAACTTGAAAAAATTAATAATTAATATTTTATTGCACTTTATGACGGGGAAGAATATGTAGAATGATATCAAAAAAGTGACGCCAAGTTGGCAAATTGCAAATAAGTGGCAAAAGGTCGAAAGGTTCTACCTTTAATTTACAGTTAACAAATTTGTGAAATATGCCTTTAGATACCTTAAATTAATTGTAAAAAAGTGAAAGAACATGTAAATTTGCCACTTGCCAACTTAACGTCACATCTTTCGAGTTACTTTTTTGATATTATCATTCCCAATTATAAAGTGCAATAAAATGTCTACTAATTATTTTTTCACGTTCAAATCCCACTTCGACTGGAGTAAAATATGTATTATACTCAGTATGTACCTGCCTACGTAAAAAATGATAGTAATATTTTTGTTTGAAAGTATTTATTTTTAGCATTTCTTAAATAGCGTTTTAATTATTTCGCTGCACTGAAAATTAAACTTAAAAAAAGTGTTGTAAATATATCCTTATTCCATAAGGATCAGTTAGAGATTGCTTTTAACTAACTTATTTTTAACAGAGACGAAGTGATTAATTTACGTTCTAGTACTAAATCTATGAGTAAATTAAACCTATGCCCCTCTTATAAAAACTATATACAGGGTGATTCACAACTTATCCAAAAAAATTTGGGAATAGATGCGGCATGAGAAATGGAGTCAATATTGTAAAAAAAAATTTATAAAATCCTTATAGTTTCCGAGAAAAAAATTATTGAAGTTTTAGTGCTTTCAACCATTACATAGCTGGACAACTGTAGTCACTAGTGTCATTCGTAATACGCCTGGAGAGCCACGTGGCCTCAGCAACTCCGAATACTGAAATCCGATGTTTATAATGGTAGTCAGTGTCAAAAATGGCTTGCGTGTATAGCAACTCGGAGTTGATGCATATTGTTTTAGTTTATGGTGTAGTAAGAAAACATTTGTATTATGGTGAAGTATTTGTGTTATGGTGAAACAAAACAGAATTTGTGTTAGTTCGTAGAAACTGAGTAAGACGGACCCAAATGTGTTTACACGTCGGTGGACAAAATTTTGAACAGTTATTGTAACATCAGGTATGTCAAATTATTTTATTATTTAAAACCACAAATGAATTTTATTAATTAATTATAACAATAGCGGCAAAATCAGTTGAATTTGCTGATATAAAATAGGTGCTATAAAATTCTGTTTACTTTTTTCCTTGCGAAATCCTTTCAAGTTTTTGTGTGCTTTTATCACTGCCGCCTTGACGGTCGCATTGTGTCAGGTCAGGTTTTACAGCGGACCAGTTTCCAGTGCCGTGCAGAAGTGTATTTTTAAATCATCTTCGAACTGCACTTTTTGATATTTTCTTTACAAAATTGTATTTGTAAGGGTCCCCTGTACATCCAGATTTTTTTTTTTTTGGATAAGTTCTGAATCACCCTGTATACCCGAGAATAAATATCTTTAAAATTATAACGATGATTATAGTTTATAAAACAAATGCAACGAACTAGAATTTGTGCCACATATTACTAAAGATAAGTATTTAAAATTTATTTAACAGTTCTACAATTTTGTGAAACATATTTGCTTTCTAATTTGCCTAATTATCTACCTAATTGTGTTAAAATTTCATAGATTTTCTACAAATATATTTACACACTGTAGCCTTTGCAATTGCATCATTATTGAATTTTTTTAAAAACTTGTGTAAAAAGTTAAAAAATTTTTATAGATATTGCCTTGTGCTACAAAAAAAATTGATATCAGTCTATATTATTACAATTTTTTATTTAAACAATGTTTACTTTAGTCGAAGTTCTAAAAGAAGCACAAATAAGTACCTATATGAGGAAAACAGAACGTACTGCCCTGAAATAAAATATAATAAATAATATAAACGGATTTAGAAGACATTATTATTTACAGACGATTATAACTTCTGATATCTTCACTTATTCACCAACATTTTAATACATCGTATTGTATTTTTAAGTATGATATTGTGCGAAACAACTACTTTACGGGCTACATGATCCGTGCAGCATTGAATTACTCCTCCAATAGTAATCAGCAAAATCGCAATTCTATAAATTATAACGTAAAATAAAAACTATTAGTATAAGTATAATACAAAAATCTGTTATTGGGTCCTAATGTTATTAATTATTAAAAAGTATTTGTAGGTACCAATATATTTTTGATGTGTTGATTTACCTGTGTTATTAAATTACACAGCCACACAAAAAAATGTAGTCTGTACTTTTCATGCGACATATGTTATCCGTAGTATTTTTACCTCCTGATCACGAATCCGGGGTCAGAATTGAGCTATCACATCACAGGAATTTCCTAACCTCAAAAAACAGATCAAAAATAGCAAAAATTCACAAAAAAGTGCTAGGAAAAATAGAATTTTTTTTTTTCTATATTCAAATGTTCATTTATATAGTTAACACCCCGCCAAACGTGAATTAGCTGTCAGAATTGATGGTTCTTTTTCTAACCTCAAAAAAAAAACGTATGAATTAAGGTCAGATATCACCAATTTCCAAAAAATAACAAATTCGCGCCAAATTTGGTATACGTGGGTTTTCGGAGTCACTGATCACGGATCCGAGGTCAATTTTGCAAAATTCAAGATGACGGATCCAAGATGGCCGACCAAATTTTAAAAAAATAACAGATTCGCATCAAATTTGGTATAAGGGTTTTTTTTTAATTCTGACCGTGGATTCACGTTGGACGGGGTTTTAATAACTATATATATAAATGAACATTTGCATATAAAAAATATATATATTTTTCCTAGAACTTTTTCATGAATTTTTGCTATTTTTTATCGGTTTTTTGAGGTTAGGAAACTCCTGTGATGTGATAGCTCAATTCTGACATCGGATTCGTAATCAGGAGGAAAAAATACTACAAATAACATATGTCGCATGAAAAGTACAGACAACTTTTCTTTTTTTGTGTTGCTGTGTTCTCAATTATTAATTCCCGTAACTGCACATTATTCTCAGGTTTGTTAATATAGGTAAAGAATAAATTTTTTGAAGACACAAGATTTACTTTTTGATTTGCCTAAGAAGAGTTTGTAGGTGTTCATCGACATAGGAAAGTTAATAGAGAGCGAGTAAATTTTCATTTTGTTGCCTGCCTTTAAATACAATGAGTGGTTTAGATGTCACCTTACATATCAATCAAGAAAAAGTGGAGCGTTATCCACTGCACAGCAAGAATAGTCTTACATTATTTGCTTGAAAGGATATTCAGAATATTAGATTATTAAAGTCGAAGTTAGAATAAGTATCCCTTCTAATTTACCATTAAAATGTGTGTTCTATTCGCCAGACGTTCGCTGATTGCCAGCAATTTATGGTCAACATAATTGATCAACCGAACGGTTTCTTAATCGTTTAATTTAAAATTTCCACAAACTGATTTAGTTGCAACATTTGTACGTCGTCGAATTGCCCGATCACTGGAGAACATAGTTGCTGTCAGGGCCCGAGAACTTATACTTGAAAATATGGGGAAACTGGGAACCACGTGACTTGAGATGGATATACAAGTTGGGGAAAGAGTCTATAGATGTCGCCACAAAGAATTTGTAGAATAAATTTTGACAATTGCAATTATGAATCATTTCATGTCATTCTTGTTCATGTTTATTGTTTATTGTTGTTAGGTTTGGCGAGTGTTGGTGTGTGTTTTATTTGTGTTTTTAATGTGTTTTATTAGATATTTCATTCACATTTATTTATATAACATAATAATGTCTGATCATCATATATTTGTTTTTTTTTAATAAAAAATGTGATCAGAGGTAGGTAGTTTTTTTTATAGATATCAACACAACGAAAAATTTAAAGTTGCATAATAAATCTCTATTACAAGAATTAATCAAAGATTGGTTTAGTAAAATTATTTACTTGTAATATTTTTTTATTCACCGTGACAGCTAATACAATATAGAAAGCACTGAAACTATAATCATTTTCACTCTTTTTTTTTTTAAAAAAATATGTACTGAAATTTGAAATTTTTTCAACAAGCATTTTAAAAAGTTACAGTATCAAAATTATTTCTTATTTTAAGTAGGAGGACTATTAGAGCATTTAAAAGTGTC